TTTTTCGAAAAATCGCGATAAAATCGTCTGAAGTGACGATTATTTTTGGATGAAAATATAGTCATCATGAATGACAGAATTTTAATAGACTAGATAATTTAACACCACTTTATACTGCACTATTTATGCCACCAAAAATCCCGAAAAAATTGGTGATTTTATCGCGATATAGAAGCCGATTACTTGTGAGATCTATCGCGATAAAATCGCCAAAATTAAGGACTTTTTGCCGATTTTTTGTCGAAAAGTCTTGATTCGTAATGATTCCGACAAAATAAGCATTTCCTACTGGCGATATAATCGTCAATATTTTAAAAAATCGCGATTCACCGCCCAAACCTTGGCGATTTTGAAGACATGGGTAAGAGGACGCAGAATACTATTCAAGCAGAATTCAGAATGCCGTACATTTGTTCAGAATCTCATTTCAACAAATATATCATTCCTGTTTTTAAATTGCATTACAATATGGAATTCTATAAACAATATGATAGTTCCGTTCCTCATAAATTAACTATATGTCTACAAAATTCTAAATTCTACTTTTCGAGTATTTTACAGTTATCTGTGCACTTACACTCTATTCTCGTTCTCGTCGAGAACAGCTCAGCATAAATAAGTTATCTATGTGCATTATTGCTGGTCTGTTTTTCAGTGTTTGGCATAGGTATTCACGGAGTTATATCAGAGTATAATAATGTTGTACCATTAAACCAAACTAAGCATTATACGTTTTAATTATTGTAAGTTGTATTCTCCCATAATTACTCTACAAATGGATGTACTTTTCACATTCAACTACTGTTCTCTCGTGACTTTATGCATGCAAAACAAGATTCTACCAATGTTGATTATGGAAGAACATTAATCACAACCAATAAACCTTCTAGTGCTTAGCCTGGTTTATTAGCACAGCATTTAATAAACTCCATGCAACCCCCGACTGATTGATTGAAAACCATTCTGAGAGAAAAAATGAAGGACGCAGGTAGACAAGACTAAATACGGGCCGGCGAGGAGTAACCAAAGAAAAGGCAATAACAGCAAGGTTTAGTTCGTGCTGGCAAAATCCCTGTTATGC